CAGCACATTCCCTATGGTATTGGAAATTCTTAATGGTATCGACCCCACACCAGCGCTTTTGCCATGTCAGAAATGCCCCAAAGCACCAGGGTGTCATTAGTTCTTTCCAGAATTGGGCAATACAGTCATGATCATTAAAAAAAAAAAAAAAGGAAGTAACTGTAAAAACAGAGAATGGGAAGCTGGGACAGGAAGAGAACAATCATGCAAGGCTGTTTGGGAAGCCAGAAATAGGTTTCTTTAACTATCATGATGTAATTTTCTAGCTTTGTTTTCATACAATTTGCAATAGAATAATAAAATTATCTCAGATATGATGATAAAAAGCCTGATACTGTTTAGCCACATCAGAGCAGTCAACAGAATTTAACTTCTGTCTCTCGCTCTCGGAATTGCACAAGCACTCAAAGGCAGATATATAACTCACAGAGTTTATACAATCCATGGATGTATTCCCTGCTTTCCCCCCTTCCTTCCCTCCTTTGCCACCTAGTGCCCAGGCTGGAGTTTTCTTGTAATCTTGGGATCAAGATTTAAACCTGTTTTTGTGTCCTTTTCAGCATCTTTAGGCTCCAGCTCACAGAATTAAGATGAAAATCTCAGTCATCTGAATTTGGGGATTTATCCATAATCCCTGAGGGGTGTTTGATCATATCGCCATGATCAACATGGGTTGATCAACAATTTTTAATAAAGTCAAGCTGGGTTTATCCTGGAGCATGGGTGTGTGTTAATGAACAACAAACAGGGAAATACAAAGTTATTTCTTTGTAAAACAAATCAATAATTTTAAATGTAAATTCCACCCCTGCATGTTCAAGCTGATGACAGTTTACATTATAAAGTAGACAAATATTTTCCATCAAGCCCCTTGTTTACTAAAACATGTCAAGTGCATTGTCTGTCTCTTGAAGCCCAGGAAATGCCTCGTGTTTTTCAAAAAAAGCAGATTTTTGCCACTTTACTGACTTAGATCTTATCAGACTGGGCAGTAATTAATGCTTTATCTGTGAGTGTTCAAGTGTGCTGTTGAAGAAAGTCCAAAGGAAGCATCTCCCGTATCTCGCAGCCCCTCGCTGGCTGTGGTGCTGTATCAGCTGCTGCCAGGCAGAACCAGTTTCCTGTATTTGGGTTTATAGTTCTCTGTCACTTAAAAATAGAGCAGTTCGGAAAAGCAAACGTACCACAGCTTTCTTCTGGATTTGCCCAGCCAGAGCTGGGTGTGACTGTGCTGTTAGAAAAGCGCAGTTGTTTTCCAGGGCAGGTTTGTGCACCTCCAGCAGCTGGGTGCAAACGGGTTGCTCCAAGTGCAGTTCTGCAGAATCCAGCGAACCAGCCCAAGGCTTTGTGCTGCTTTCCTCAGGTGCTTTCCTCTGCTGCAGTGTCAGGGTGTGGAGCTGTGGCTCTGAAGAGAACAGTCGCGTATTCCACGGGCCCTGAGGAGGCCGAACTTCCCTGCGGTTCCTGCCCGTGGCAGCAAAGCTTTGGAGCGGGCTGGACGTTGAT